GACATGCAATGATTGTTCCTTGGGATCGGCAATATGAGATCTCATCGAGAGAGCAGATCATGTAGCAGCGTTTCTCCTAGGCGGACATGGTCATGGAATCTAATGTACCTTCCATACGCATAGTCGCGATGTTCTTTAATCCTTATATCCTCCACGAGGAAGCGTGGCACTCGGTCATGAACCGGTTGCCGTCCGAATTGCGGGTTGCCAAGCGGAAAACGACGCCGCACTCGGTGCAGATATCGGACCGTATATCCGATTGAAGTTTGTCGGTTGAGTAATAAGTAGATTTTGATGTCATTCGTCAACATTTCTGAGTTTAGAAAAGCCGATGTCTTCGAAGGTTGCTACCGACCGAATCCCGTTCCCGCAGTTGAGTTCTTTGATCTCGTTTTCCTCAAACTAAAAAAGCGTCTTTTGAACAACGGCTGGAGGAAATCTCGTGATACCCTTCGTCGACCAGAGGGTAGTATCGAAAATCTTTCGCAGATCTTCTGACTCACCGAACTACGTGTTCCGCGTTCACGTAGTTCTACGCCCACAAACCGCCTGAGTCCCTGACTCGGGCACCCCGGGGATTTTTTTTGAGGAAACGTGACAGAGTCCCATCCGGTGAATGCTCAAAATAGTTAACCAAGAGAGACGGGGAGACCCCATCGTGGTTCGCAGCTGGGGCTAGACGTCCGTAGGATTTCGAGGCATATTGAACATGCACCCCTTCCGTTGCATTCGTTTCCATTAGGAAGGGGTCCAGTATCTGAACTGCGACATGGGACGCAGTCCTTCGGCAAAACCTTACAGTTCAACGCATCTGTTCGTTCGTTCCTACGACGATCACAAGGAGTCGAAGACTTCAGAATACGTCGCGGGACGATTTCTTTCTACGAGTTGCCGAGCGGCCCTATCCTACTCCGTTCCTGCTTCTCCACATGTTCGTCTGATGAGTCACTCTACCCTTTTAACGGTTATGCACGATTTGCATTTCGTTCCTCACGACTCGTGGGGCCGAGTGGGAACAGACAACTCCGAAGGGAGAGAGCTCCTCACGAACTGAGCGAGGAGGAGACCTTTGACAGACCGTGCGAAGCATGCGCTTCTGCTGAGCGGAAAGAATCTTCGATGGCAGTTAGGAATCAAAGTTCCTTCCCGATCTTCCCCGATGGTTCATTGATATGGCTGGGGATCTTCTGCGGGACAAGCGACGGAATCCGCGATCGATCGGCGGAAAGTTTTCGGATAATCTGCAGAAACAGCGAGAATCAGACGCTATAAAGTGAGAAAATGAGAACAAAACTCGAGAAGCGAGAAGCAAAAATGATATTTATTTTTCTTCCATTATTATTCGTAACATGAACCTGCACGTTTTCTGTAGACTGTGGAGTTCCTGTCTGCGACGCACCGGCTGTGATTTTCCGGCTGATCTGGTTTCAAACCAGGGAAGTATTCCGCCGCCACGCTATGCGCAGAATCATTCAATCAGCTGAGCTTGTCCCATAACTAAAAAAGCGCTGTTGGATTCTCTCAATACGGAATCTCGTGAGCTTGTACTGCAACGAAGCTTTGTCACAACTTCCTGAAAATGGAATTGAATACATCCATTGATTAGTCTCGAGAGTGTGGTAGGCGAGGATGGGAGCATCGTGATTCGTGATCCGTCGGAATTCATGGTCAAGTTCTTTGTCCGTGTCATTCTTCCGAGGCCTATGCTTGAAAAACCGACCCAGTCAGATACACGAGTTTTCAACAGATGGTTACAAGGTCACGATATTGTGGCGGGATATCCCTCATTGATAGACTCAGAAACCGAGTTTCATTCCGATGTCCCAATCTCGACTCGGGAAGGAAAAAATGAATTCTGATGCAATTCCTATTTATTCCACCCAGAAGCACTTTGATCCCTGATCTCTATAGAGAAGCCGGCCCTGGCTTCTATCACCCCAGTACGAACCTTCAACATTTTTCTCGTTAACTTTTCCAAAGAGGTTTGCCCTGATTTCTCTCCACCTTTTGATCGAGACATCGCAAGGTGCATCCAAGCTTGATGATTTCTTGATCCTCCCTAGCAGTGGTCTTTCCGAGCGCCCCGTCCCCGGTCGGTCCCTGTACCTGCTCGTCTCATAGTACCGTCTCGCCGTATATCGCACGCTGGACCCTGAGGTACTCTCCATGGGAGCAACTTGTCGGACCTCACATCTTGCTCTACGCAAAGCAACTATAGCGGATCTCGTTCCCGTCGAAAGTTGAGCTCGGGGGCCATTTCGGACGCGCAGCAGAACGTGAATGCTGCGATTAGGGTCGACTTGATTATTCGGGTTCTTCGAACACCATCCAGAGCAATAAGAAGCGCTGGGAATTCGGCGCCAGACGCCGTGATTCCTCGCGGCATTTCCCACTGGATCCTCCAGAACTTCAGAAAAAATATGAATGCCGGAGATGCCATGAACTTCCGGATCTAAATGCTGCGCAATTGCCCCAGCCTCAGCGATCAGCAAGACAATTGATCTGCGGACTCTTTGGCTTCGGGAGCTCTTCGATTTTTCGCAGTACCGCTGACGTGGAACGCAGACTCATTGACGTGGAGCTACTATACGCATTCGGCTAAATAGTGTGAGGGACCTTAGTCCGCTCGGACCGGAAGTCCGAGCAGGCACATTAAAAGAATAACTATTGGCTCGGATGAACTTTATTGCATCACGATGAGGTAATTTTTTTCCTCGAAATGGAGTTGGAATATCGGGATGGAACTTGACTGAAAGCTGAGTGTATCGATGAGAAGTATTTTGCTGCTAACGTGAATATTCTGATAGACGGGCGTACCCGCATATTTTTCGACCTCCAGAACCTGCCCATTAATAAGAGACTGACAGTCTATTGGAGACGGCCCGTTCATTCCTTCCCTCCACCGAGAGCAGAAGTGTCAGAAGTGGCATCCAGCATCGAATCAATTGAATAAAAACTTAGAGCATACTGTATACTCATAGGGAGGAGCGTCGAGAGAAGTTTTCCTTCCTGCGTAACTCACGTACCTGAATTCGTACCCTCAAAATTGCCCGTCAATTAGAGACTATCCGTCTATCGGAGAGTACCCGTCCAATTCTCTCATTCTCCGAAAGGTGCCCTGTGTCTATAAGAGACTGCCTGTCCATTGGAATATTCACGGTATATGGTGACCCGGAGACCAAGCGTCAGAAAATCGCTTGATGGACCGGGTCGGTTTTTCAAGCAAAGCACACAAGGAGGAATGCCGACACTGGACTTGGAACATTACTTCCGTCTTCATCAACACTCAATACTAGTCCATAGATATAACTCGATTCGGGCCTGCTTGGAGGGTGCGTAAAAACTCCTTGGCCGTATTTTATGTAGTGGCGAAGACACTGCGTTCGGATCAGGTGCTCCAGAGAGAGCTAAGTGGGGATTTGGTCGCAAGTCGCAACTCCCTTGCTCGTTACGAGTCATTCGAAGCCATCTTCTCGATCTCGCCGCCAGCGTTCAAACACCATCAATGATTCTTGAATCTCGATTTCGGTTAAAAGGGTATGTAGGCTCTGTTGATCGCACCAGTTTCCCGGAAGCGCTCATTCTCTTGAAACGACGGCGACTCTCGAACAGGGTGAGAATTATACCTTCTCGAGTCGCGAAATAAGGGCTCAGTGTGAACACTTGTTCTTTCATGGACTGTTTCTCAGTCAGGAGATTATCACATTCCGGCACTAATCGAGAAGCAGGGAAGGGACCTCCTGAGCGGGATTCATTCCTCGTCCTAAAATGCTCATGTCATGTATGCAGCAGGCGACGGAAATAGACGATTCCTCTTTGCATGTTTTTGTCGTCGCCCACCTGCCATTCGAAATTCTTTCTCGCAGAATCGAATCAGACGAATTCATTCTCCGAGCCGAGCTGTCAATGCCATTCATGAGTCAGGTGTGAGAATTCATTTGCGGAATTCCCACTCCAGAGGCTTCGGCATGGGTGTTAGACGATTTGTCCCGCATATCTCGAGGAACGTTCAATTGTCGCTGCTGGCTCCAGAAATCAAAGCATCCGTTGCGAAGACCATGTCATCGTCGAATGCTGCTCGGAAACGACGCGCGTGAAGCTCGGACAACTTGGAGCATAGAGCCTATTCGCGCCGAGCTGCCCGTGGTGAGGGAGATGTGACGGTGGCGCGTCAGAAACGGTCACCTGAATAAGCGCTCGGCCAGACCTTGCTCCGACCTAGCCCACGTCTCTCGAGTCCGATCGTTCACGACACATGTATACTCGAGCATTGCGCAGCCCAAGAGGCCGTCAGATACGGAGTTTGTGGCATTTGAAACTCCGACGCAGATAGCCCGTATCGACGCCGCAACCCATCATCACGGATCCTCGGGATACGACTGGAATCTGCAGTGCCGTGATAGTGTCACCCAGGTTGGGACGAGGAATAGCCCGTGATTTTGAATTTGTTAAATTGGTGAACTCTCTTAAACGGGATCAGGGCGATCTCCACAGCCATGCCATACCGCTGGGTGAGAAGGCTCACGAATACAAACGCTCTCTTCGAGCTGTTTCGAAGCATCAGGAATGGGATAGGATGACCCTACTATAGGGGTTCAAGTAGATTGAAGTTGGTATGCTTTTCTCCATGGGAAAAGCGAGCTACAGATTGAACCCGATCAAGAATCGAGTGCTCCTTATCGGGTTCTTGGAGACGGGGTGCGAATGCAATGATTGGCCGCCGGCACCATCTCGAATCTCTTATACGAACGCGACCACCTTTCTGCCTGCGAATCCATTCCTGGTGGGTCGCAGCCCAGTGTCTGAATCTCGTCGGATTACCCTCACGGAACACTGAGAACTACCCATCCTCGAATCCTTGGATCGATTACAATATCGAAGAAGAGAATCGATGTTAGAAGAAAATAATTTTCCCCTTTTTCCAGCGCGTGGAGAACTCTCGCTGCTAGAGGTTTATGCGGATCGTGATCGTCGCAGCAACGAACGAGCGAGGTCGAAACATGATTAAGAAAGTACGAGACAAAATCTCCCTGAACATTGGCCACGATGACGATGACGACGACACGAAAGCGCTGGTGAGTGATGACTCGAGCCTCTCCGTAGTCGCCCGACCACGAGTCTGATCGGAGGCTTTCTTGTGAACTCAACGAAATTCCCGATTCTTTATGTGAAGTATGCATGACAGAGGAACACCCCGATTACATCAACATTGTTACGGATATTTGCATCGATCCCAGAGACTTCTCTTGTCAGAGCCGCTCGCCTCATGTCCTCGGATATAATCAATAATCATCATCGGTCATTATCTGGCTGAAACCATTTTTCATCTACGACTCCCCAATCTTGACCCTCGAATCCACAATTAGGAGTTGATCGGCTTTCCTGATTGGAATCTCTCTTCTCGCCCCTTCCAAGTCGTCCATGACTCCGAGCCCTTTCGACATCCTTCAATCCACAGAGTCGGAATCGGATTCTAGACTCTCAGGCGCATGCGGCGGAAGTCCTCTGAGTCGCCAATCCGGTGAGGAGAGGAGACTGCGCGGGCCCGGGGACCTAGGACCGCTCATTGTATGAATCATCGTGGAATTGCCGAGTCGGTTCTTGCACGCATGATGAGAGACTAGACTCGGCAAGTCCTCCCCCTCCGTTGTACCAGGAGCATTGCTATGTCTTGCTTGAACCGTGATCAAACGATCAGTATTCGATTTCTGGTCGAGTGAGGAGCGACGCAGGCTTGAGCGAACGTGATGCTGAAATTAATCAGTGGAGGTCACTGAAGTCCTGAATTTGTTTGACTTCGGTTTCTGGGTTTTTGCGACACGCCCGGCATGATCCCCCCACATTAAGCCGTGAGGCCGTTCGAGAGCGCCATCGGACCGAAAAGATATTATGAGCTCATTAGGGATCGCTTGGAGAGTCATCCATGAAGATTATCGACAGCGTGGATTCGGCCAGACCACAACGAGATCACCTGAGCCGAGCCGAGCTCCAGACGGAATGCATCAAACCCCTACCGCGGAGTTGAGATCATTCATGGGAAGAGCGGCTCCGTCCGATGCAATCACGTTGCTGTCGATTTCTCAAGCCCAAGAACGATTCAGATGCATATTCCATTCGCCTGGTGTGTTCGAGGGTAATGATGTATGCACGTTCCTCTGTTTCTGTATCATGCGCAAGCCTCGCGTGAATATCTGACAAGTGTAGATCCGGATTCTCCGAGTCTCCGGAGGGGGTTCCAGTGCGGGACCGGGGATCGTCCTGAATTTTGAAATGCCAGATCCCCTGCCTCGGATGAGAAGAAGCTTCGTCCGTATGGAGGAAGTTTCGCCATTCGAATCGCCGTAGCCTCTGAGATATTCGTTCACAGAGAATGCCGACGATTCCAAAGGGAGCAATCGATCCATGAACCTATCGGCGGGCTTTCTGACTTTCTCTCTCGATTCCAGGTGTCTTCGCAATCGTTTGAGTCGCCCCTCAAAATGTTGGACTCGATGTCGGTGGACACCGGCTCGGCGGAAATGCTCTCCCTGTACCGGGGCTTGTTATTCGCTTCGATATCATCGCTGTTCTTCTCGTTGTGCTCGGTCATCGTGAAAAAGCTCCATTACATTCATCCGGCGCAATTGGCATGCTTGCGTTTCGTAGGAATTTTCGTGTTCACATTACCGTGTGTGATCTACAGACAACAACCGCTTCTCGGTCCCCGCGATGTTCGCTGGATGTTGATAATGCGGGGCATAGCGGGTTCAACTTCACTGTACCTGCGCTTCTACGCCCTCCGTTACTTACCCATAGCTGACGCCTCAGTCATCATCTTCTCGGTACCTGTCTTCGTGGCCGTGATGGCCAAAGTATTCCTAAAGGAGCCTTGTTCGGTCTTCCATTGGATTTCTGTGATGGCGACTCTTTTCGGCATAGCCTTGATAACGAAACTCCCGTTTCTGTTCGGGACCAGAGATGAGATCGAGCAGTTGTCGGACGCGAGCTCATCGGATCGTACATTTGGTATTCTTGCCGCGATATCGTCGACGGTATTCTCCGCTAGCGTTTATGTTCTGCTGCGTAAGCTCAAAGACACCGACCATTTTGTCGTCATGCTGAATTTCGGTTGGGTCGCTGTGATTGAGACGTTTTTTCTCACGTTGTCCCTCGGATCGTTCACGATGCCCCGCTCCAGCGACGATCTCATGATGGTGTTTGCCTTGTGCTTGTTCAGCTTTCTGGGACAGGTGTGCCTCACTCGGGCTCTGCAGACAGAACAGGCCGGCCCGGTTTCTGTTGTGCGCGCGACGGCTGACATCGCATTCGTCTTCATTTGGCAGATTTCATTTTTCGGTGAAATTCCCGATCGATACAGCGTCTCAGGAGCGATCCTGGTATCGCTTTGTGTCATACTCACGAGCGTTCGGAAATGGGTCCTCTCATTGCCAGAGCACTCCGCCGCCAAGCACCGTCTGCTCTTCCTTACCTTTTGAGTAATCCCGTTCCGCGGACGACGAAATTCGGCCAGGCCATGACGGAAGGCCTTGCGTGTAGGAACAGTCCCTCTGAAGATCCTATTCCATGATATTGAATCGCTCATCTCGGTCTCGTCTGAGGGAGAGGAATGATCCAGCCAACGAAGGTCGCCGGGGCGTTCGAGTGCTGTGGATCTCTCCGGAGAAGGGCTTCGGCCTCCACCGCGGGGTCATTGCGGTCGCATCCGGACGAGAGACCCCGAAGGATCAGCACTGTCTTTCGCGTATACTCACGATTAGGCTCTGGGAAAGTGATTCCTTCGGCGGGTAGGCATAGAGCCGATCGTGAAGCCTGGGATCCGGAGCTACGACATACGGAGCCTTCTCAGACGGTCGTCGATATGGACGATTCCGAGGTCGAATCGTAGTTAGCAGAGAGTACATTCATCACGCACATTCACACATGGGCCTCCATTCTGGGAAGCTTGACTTACCCGAGGACAGGGTGTTCCCTGGTGAGTCGGGTTCCGGAGAGATTGTCTATCGATACGGCAAGGATTCCGGAAGGAACCACCTGGTCTTCACGAGGGAAGAGCTCTGATGGATAGGTAAAATCTGGTCGATCCCGACAGCTATCGGCGAGGGATCCCTCTGTTTGAGCCAGAGGCGGTAGGAGTTTTCGTCTCTCATTCCTTGATAGATATCTCTCCTTGAAACATTTCGGGGGAAGAGGGGGGGGGGAGTTCTCGACATGACTCAAATGAAGGAGACCCCGGCCGGCGCAAGACTTCCATCCAGATCCTTAGACGCCTCATAATGAAACGTCCATGACCTACTGAGGTGTCACCAGTAGTCCCTCTCAAGGAAAGAGCTTTCGACCAAAAGTGAAGAACGGATTAGTGAGAATGCGAGACGTGTCCGATGAAAGGAGATTCGCAAAGTGAATGACTTATCTACCTCCCCGGAATCGCAACCTGACCAGAAATGGCAGCTTGACGGAGTCAACTTCTTTAATGACGTGAGTAGGAGAAGCGTAATTAATGGCGAAAGGAGCTGAGTAGACAAGTCAAGCTGGTCCGCCCAAGATAATGCGGGAGTCGGGACGCTCCAAAAAACTAAGTTTCGACGACGTCCGAAGCCCATCCTAGGAAGAACTTTTCGTGGCATGGCGTCAGAGGAGGAATATCCCAAAGTCAGTCAACTCCTCTGGATGTTCGCGAAATCGCTCTCTGCTGTCCATCTCGCGATCTGTTGGATGTACTACCGGGCATTCTCAGGTTATGAGCGTGCATCCTGGATGAGAGCGAGTAGAGAGCACCAATAATGTTGAAAATAGACAAGCTATGTTATTAAATCTTTAGAGTTTATGTGACATTTGCTCCAGTCAGCGATGGGTTGAGGTGAATGATTGGGGGAAAATATCAATTTGAAATAAAGTTATCCACAATTAAGTGCCTGTCGAATGCCGCTATTGTCTTTCTACCTATGTATGCCCGAGCATGGCATCTTTCCCTGCCAACTTCAACTGCTGTTCACCGCGATATGCGCTAAAGAAGATTTGTGATATAGAAGGAAAGGAGCGGAGGTTTCATCCGGAGATAAAGCACGATGGAAAACTTTTCGATGGATAGCTCCCCAGACGGATCCCGTGACAGCAACGTTGGCGAGATCCAAGGTAGCTGTGGAGAGAAATAAGGCAATGTTGTTATCAGGTCTCACGGGGAAGCCATAGAGGACATGGAGCGTTGCTCCCTCTCCCGCCGAATGGTCCCACCGAATTGGACGAAAATACGTTAGTTTGCCAGGCGAGCGATTGTTATCGGAAGGACGCCTTTTAAAATGATGGACCCTCGAGATAATGGAGGAAGCTACAATATCTGAATGAAGATGTTTCGATTGGAGGAGGCCGTCCTCATTCCATACTTCTGTTCGGCCGTCGAAATCGGCGTCGGGATTGAGTTTGATCCGAGCAAGCCTCTCCGGATTCCGCCCAGATGCAATCTCTTATGAGAGAGCGGTATCGTCGCAGTCGCTGGAGCTCCCGTCGACGCACGAAGTTTCCCCCGATTTGAATCGCCGAGGCAACAGCTTGATCTTAATCATCAGGAATGATACACATAAGCGGCCAAGACCCATTCGCCTCATTTGTTTCCAGAGGCCGTGTTCATTATCGAGGACGAATCGCCGAAGGGCACGCACGGACCGTATAGCTTTCATACGACGAAGCTCCTCCGATAATTCGGTCAGCAGTCTCGTCGATGCCATATTTTCTGACGTAATGATAGGGTGAGCGATTCGAACGTCGGACCATCGGGATCTCCGCGAAGTAGGAGCATTGCGATGAGCAGAGAACGCCTCCTTTGAGAGAGAAACTCGTGTCTCCCGGATCTCGTCTCTCGGACAGGGCGCTCCCCACCCGCCCCCTCCCCTGATTGTTCCTCTCCCCGGCCACGAAAATTGCACATGCACGTCAGACGAGAGCGCGAGCAAAACATCTTATCCCTCCTCCGAGTGCTAAAATCCACCGCTACAGCCAATACTAACATAAACATTAATTATTGGGGTACGTGGAGCTCCAAGACGTACGGGCACGCCTCCGTGTACTCCCGAGCGGGAGCATGCTGGCATAGAAGAAATACATCGGGGCTCAATATTGAACGACACCTCCGCTCGCCTATCTCCAGGGACGGCCAGTCGGCAGAGCGGAGAGTATGCATACAACAATGACGCCGAGTGCTGAAAGAGAAACGTTGAATGCATGAATCCGTATGTATCTGTTTGTACCGAACGTGGCGTGGAGCAAGCCCCGATGCAAGCGAGGGGAATAGCAGTCGCTGAGGCGATCGGAGATAGCGGCGCCCGCAACGACAAGGTGGACGCTCTCGTGGGTGCCGTATCCTCCGTCGCGCTCTCTGTTCTCGCCCAAATCGTTCATCCATTCCGCGGTGGCCACAGGCGTGGGAGCCGAAAGTTCGGAATCGCAGAATAGTTTGTGGTTGTTCCTGGGAATCTGACGAAGCATGGCTTCCTGATAATTCACGCTGCAGTCCGTCACATTATTCAATTTACGGCGGCTGGGACGCTCGGATCGTCATCGGGAGCGTGCCAGCCCTGGGCCATCGGAGACGACCGGCTCGATTCGATTTCTCATGGAACTGCCGCGAGAACGCTCTCCTGGAGGCAACCTGAAGGAAACTCTCGATCATTCGGAAATGAATTCCCGAAAACCCTTTCCTCGCGGGCATCCGAGGAATATCATTATCGGGACCTCCCAGCTGCATCAGACAAGAGGAGCCTTCAATCGACGCCGAATCCGAAGCTGATCCAGGTTTTCTCAAACTTACTGAAAGACCATCCTCGCGTTTGATAGACTTACGATAAGCAACGTGACCGTTTTTTCTTCTCGAAGCATCGAGATGTTTCGGTGAGCATCTAGCCCAATGACCGGAATCCTTCCCTGACGCTAAGAACGAGTCCTCCCAGGGCACGCGGGGCTCTGCCGAGGTCGCAGCTGAGGCTCTCGGGAATTAAAGCTCGAACGTCCGAAACTCACCTACGTCAGGCGTTCTGCCTCACGACGAGAGCTCACTTATGACTATGACATAGGTATCCCACGAGGATTTTTCCCAAGTTGATGAGAGCCATATGCGGAGCTGAGTAGGAGCTGGTCATTTCAGATTACAGGGCACCTAAGCTCGTCAATACCTGGGTCGGATCGCTACCCTCCGGTTGACAAAGGCGCTCAAGAACGAAGGCTAAGGATTCGTTTCAGCGCTCGTAACTGCGCCGACGAGGTGCCCAGAGTGGATTGGGGCCCCAGACGTCGAGCGCCGTATGCAGTAGATTAGCACCTTTTCTCATGAAATCTAGTGGCGAAGGTCAGAGCTTCACTCCTACAACATAGGACGACAGGTCCAGAACCTTCACGAACTGCTGTCTCATCTTAAATGAACGCTGCCCATATGTGGGTGGATTTTCACAGTGCTCCTCTGCGTCACTGCATCTATGGCCGATTTCAGGCGGGCCACAGGGATCAGGCTAAATCTGGCCCTCCTGAGGTGAGGGGAATCGGTCTGGGTACAATTAACTGACGGTCCTGATCAGTGTCGCTGTCACTTGAGAAAAATTCTCAGATGACTCAATCCACTTAGAGCTGATCGAATGTTCCGGAAAGTATGAATATGCGTCTGAATTGGAACAGGTCGTCTTCGAGATCTGCTCCGAGTTGATATGCGGCGCCTAGTGGCTTCTGCGCTGTACTCAAAATGCGCCGTCCTATTGCTTGCCATGGTGGCCGCACGCACTGTTCCCAGAGAGACTGCTGTTCGCGTCTCGCCCGCACGAATGTTTCAGAGCAGATGGTGGCTATTCCGTCAGGCGGGCGCTCGCTCCGAATAAAGCTCTGGTCCCGGGAGGATCGGACGGACAACAAGACGTGACATCAATCAGAGGCGACGGACATGGTTCAGGTGAGAGCACGGCATTGAGCGGTAGGCCTTATCCAAGTGTCTCGAGTGCGCCGAGCCCCGAGCAATTTATTAAGAGCAAATAATAAGCGACTTATCTCGACACGAACGACTTTGCGTCTGACCGCGTTACGGTCGCCTCGACCAAGCTGTCATTGCTTGTCAGCTTGCGGGCTTTCTCGCTCCAATGAGCGAGTGCTGGGATGATCGGCCCGATCTGGGAACATCTGGGGCGTTTGATATGTATCTCTGTTGCTCCGACCTCCGGATCCAAGTCTAGAATTAATCGCCAATTATCCTGACTTCCCGAATCGGGTTTCTCCTGGATCTATGTACTATAGATACAACGTATCTCAAGAATCATACTTCCGTGGTCCTCCCGCGACACAGTTGCCCATCGAGAGTCGAGGACTTCATTTAAATCTTGCGGACCTCCATCACCCCCACGGATAGTCATACTTGGAGGCAACAGACTCGGTCTGACCAATCTGACATTCTGAGGCGTCAACCGCCGCGTCGCGCAACAGCCGAACTTCCTCGAGGGGAAATTCT